GGTGCATGGCATCCCGTGGCACGGCCTTTCCTCCCCACCCGCAGCCAAGCGAGTCGGGGAAGAAGCCGGAGTGGCCGAACGAAGGGGTGCGCACCACACAGCATCGCAGCCTCCGTCCAACTTGGCTGCCTACTCGCTCCCCATCTGCTAACGCGCTTAGGGCGCGCTTACCCCTTCCCACACCCTCCGTCCCAGTAAACAACCGGCCCTTCCGCCGGCAGCTGGGAGGGGGGAGCCCAGCTCCGGCACAAAGCCTGAGGGGAGCAAGGAGCCTGCTCCCGGCCACTGCCTGGGAGCCTGCGGCTGCCCCACGCTGAGCAGGGGAGACCCTGATGGCCCCATCCCACACCGGGCGAGGGGTGGCGGGGGCTGCATCCCGGTTGCTGGGACAACGCAACGCTCCTGGCAATAACATCGCTGTAAATCAACCGCCAGCCAGCTCCAGCAGGAGCCGAGGAATCCCGGCCGCACCCGCTGATCTCAGCGCTCCCACACCGCCGCGGCACAGCTGCGCTCCGGACGAGGCCGTGGCACTGCCGGTGTCACACCTTGGGGTCTCCGTGGGCTGGGGGATGCCTGCCATGTGCTGGGGTTGGGGAGGGCATGTGTCTCTGCCTCCCTGCACCCGATGCTCCCCAAGATGACCCCGCTCTGAGGGCCGGTCACGCTGTGCACAGTCCCAACTGCTGCCGGAGCTCCAGCACCGAGCCCAGCATTGGCATGGACAGGGAAACCACCACCACCGAGCTCCCGGACCTCTGTTGAGGTCGCGATGATGGAGATTTATTCCTCAAAGCCCTCTCCTAGCAGACAACGGCTTCTCATCTGCAGGACAGACGCTTGGCGCAGAGCATCTGCAGCTCCTGCTAACAACGGCTCAGGGACCATGGCACAAGGGTGGGCTTGGGGGGGTCTCGGATCTGGTCCCTGGCACGAACCCACCACCCAGCCCTGCATTCGCGGGAGAGGGGCAGGGCTGAACCTCACCTCTCCAAAACCGGCATCGCTCTCTCCTTCCTGGTGTCCGGCTGTCGGCGAGCGCTGACTCGTCACGCAAACCCGCGACTCCATCACCCCGCACAGCACGCTGCCCACTGCAGTCCCACACACACCAAGACGGGGTACCGCGTGGCAAACCCAAATCTACCAGGAGATGCTCAAAAAGCACCTGGGCAGCGCTGACCGGCTGCTGCCTGCTCTCCGTG